CTGCATTCTTGCATGTGTAATGAGCCGTGAATTCACACGCGAGGCAGTTATGAAATTTCTACCAGCTCCATTTTCCTGAAATTGATGTAAATGTCTTCTAAGAAGCTTAATCCATTCAAAGATTTCCAATCTGACCAAATACAGAGAAGTTCTCGTAAAATATTCACTGCTCATTACGCATGCAGAAATGCCGCTTTGAATTTGACACCAGTTACGGGAACGACAAACGGATTCATTTTTCAAATAATCAATTCATTAATAGAATCTTGGGGGGTACGCTTGAGCTTGGTTTGACTGTAATTATCAAGTCTGCCGGTCAAGTTCTGGTTCAGTAAGTTTCCTCTATTACTAAAAAGCATTCAGAATTTTCAGCAATGAGAACTTTCTAGACAGAGTAAACTAATACATTTCATATATAATTAACTTGCACTTGAATTGTAGGGAATAACCCTTTTAATTTTCGAGTTCCGGTTTCGTTTTCGGCGTTCTTAAGAAGATGATATGCGTAATATGGTATGTCGCCGCTCCAAAATTGAGTCGAGTCTGTGAATCGCTTAGCGTATTCTCTAAAGACTTGTGTAAGACTCGTTATACCATGTACAAACGCCTTTGGTATCCATCTTTAAAACCGTTTTTCTACGCCATTAAAGTCATTGATATTGGGGTTTTTTGTGATTGTAGGGATAAATGCCACTTGCAGAGCAAGGAGCTGTTGGCGATGATTTGTCAACGATTATTGTTAGCTCCGTCTGAAAGAGTCTTTCATTTCTTCCTTGTCTTTTTTGAGAATCTCCCAAGATAACGATTGATTTAGTCGTTTTTAATCCTCCCATGCTACCCACAACATTAATGATACGTTTATCTGAGTTTATCCACGAGACTTTATTTTTAAAACTTTAAAACGCCCTTATTTTACTGTCTTACCATGTATCAATAATCTTGAGACTCAAAGGTCTCCTAAAACGACGGTTAACCTCGAGATGGGGGAAGAGGAAGGGGACTCTGAATAATTCAGGTCTTTTAATATTGTGCATTTTTATTCAAGCACATAATAAAGTGTGAAAACTGCCAAAAAAAAAAAAAGGAAAAAGTTAACACACCATTAGAGGAACTAGATTTATAATTTTCTCCTTTTTTTTTTTAAAAAATCAGCTAAGTATAATTTTTGGTTTTCAGTAATTAAAAGAATATAAAGGGACGCCTCGCTTTTAGCCTTATAGCTAAATCTAAATATTAGACATTGTCCGAAAAGTAATGGCCATTTGTAAGTTAGAAACGTTTAGTTTGTCAATGCTATGTTCAGTATTAATTGTTTCATATTGTTTTTTAATATTTATTTTTTTACTTAGTTAACATACGTCACCCCGTTAACACAGACACTGTCTATGGTCCCCTCAGTGTCCTTATCGGTAACGCGGTTCGACTGTAGCTGCATTTCGAAACGAGAGAGAAAGCAAAAAAATTGCTGTTTTTTACGTTTCCCATTTGACCTTGAACACTGAATTTTATGAACCGTAGGAATAACGGTAACCAAAATACAGGCAAGTGGTCAAGTATCTCAGTGCAAGGCCATACTTTTTGTCCTGTTGCTGCTACATGTAGGAGTCATAGAAAGTTATCTTTATCGACAGACAGTGTTAACTATAAAACATTGATTCGCAATAATGTTTGTTGCTAAAAAGGTTTGTCTCAGCCGAGGAGCAAAGCCGGGTACGAAAAACAAACAAGTACGAGACGAGTCGTTGGTACGTAGTTTCCAATTTTCTAGCTCAGGATCGTTCATAAATTTAGTATTGTTTTTGTCACCCCAAATGACGTTATTGTAGTCATATAGAGGAAGAATTAGAGGATGAAAAAGTGAGTGTGTAATAGTACAAAATGTTTGATTTTTCGAAGAAGTCCAAGTCGCCGGTTTGTCTTGCTCATGAAATATTTTTAATGTGATTACCCCAGGACAGATCTTTACTGAGTGTTACACCTGAGTATTGGAAAGAGACAGCGCGCTTTGTCAATGGACTTTTCGTTGATTTGGATAGAGGATCCAAGATCCTTAGCTATCCTTGTTCAGATAGGTTTCTACGTCTTCAGCCTGGGTTGTTTTGGCAGAATATAGTAAATTAACATGTCATCATTTTCTTACCCGTTTTTTCCAGTGGAGATTAAATATTGCCTCTTTTAGTTCAACGAATGGTTCTGACTTCCTCACCTGTTGGAGCACAAATAGCAAAGACGATGCTTTCTTCCCCTTTTAACTCGTCTATCGGAATTAAGTTGACCAATGACCGCTTTTCAGCACCAAGGAAGTCACGGTCTTGCACATTCTCCATCGGCTAATGCGCTTTGATTGTTGGCCTCGTTTGACCAGACTAAATCGTCCATCACGAATTCTTCTTGCCTCGCTGAAAATGCTACTATGTTATTTCTGTTATCTAAGTAAGCCTACACTCTCCGTGACGAGGGTTTAAATCAAAATTCGCACTGAAAGTGCGTTTATTTCAGATGTAATATTTGTAAATGGCCGGGACACAAACGTTTGGAAGTTGGGTTGAGACGTCACGTACAAGACTCAAAAGAGCAAAACAAACCTTCACTTAATCCATTTTAACACTCTTACGTTGAAGGGTAGAGTTTAGGGAGCTTCAGCAATCACGACGCTCGCAGAACCACTTCCGTGTCAGCAAATTGTAACGGTCACAGACAACTTTGAGACGTAACTTGTGGAAGGGGGCCGAGATCTTTCAAACCATACCTAGTTGAACGCGATTCAGTCAAACAGGCCAGAGAAAAACAACTGAAAAATCATGTGACTTTTACACAGGTTGAAAAAAGGTGTTTCCGTTTCCGTTTTTGTAACGGTTACCTCACGGAAACCTGGATATCCACAGGTGGAATTGTAACTAACCGTTGCGGGAAACACGTGTATACGTCATGTTTCAGTTTCTGCGGATACGCTTAAACGCATCCCTTATACTCGCGTTTCCGTCGGGTTTACATGCTGTTACTGCTGATGGTGTCTCAATGCGTGTACGCGCTTTTATTCAGAAGAAAGGGAGATGAAAGGAAAGATTGAAGTAAGCTGTTTATTCACTGAAAAATATTGTTGAGGTATCTTTATTTTTACTGCTCATTGACACCTTTTTTGACGTCTGTCCTAAAGTTAATAATAATAATAATAATAATAACAATGATAATAATAATAATAATAATAATAATGATAGTAATAAAAATATTTACAAGTATTTTAATTCATGAGCTCATGTAATTCATTTCGATGAAAAAAAAAATTATATGATAATAATAATAATTTTTAACCAGGAGACTCTCTCAACAGGGTGATTTTCAGAGAGGTCATGAAAACAGAGGATATAAAAAGAAGGATAAAACGATAAAAAGCCACAAAAAATTTCCTGCACTAAAAACCTAAATGATCACAAAGAACTATTAAAAAGATCAGCAGAAAAGATTATAAAGTTAGCGGTAAAAAGTCAGAAAGTCATTTGATTTTCTTAAAAGATACAAAACTGTTCAAAGTTTAACAACATTGAAAATAATTATAAAAGATACGCTTAAGAGGTTATTTGATTTCCTTAATAAGCACAGATCTAGACTGCTCCAGTCTTGAGCAGCTTGATAATGCATGGGTCCTTTGGGCTGATTATCGAGCTTTAAATGATAAAGAGCTCTTCTGATTAGACGCTTAAACAGCGTAAACTGTCGCTTATATAAGCCCTGGGCTTGTAAGGGGTCAAAGCTTATAAACAAATTTATAAGTGGCAATCATGATCTAAATACTTTTTGCATTTACTGGTTTTTAATCAAGCTTCAAAACGTCATAATAAATCGAATTTTCATTCCAATACATTTAAAGGGGGTTGATATCCGGGGGGGCTCATAATCGAATATATTTTTGGATGGGTCTGGGGCTTTTTAATAGGCTTTGATGGATTTTTTTTGTAAATTTATAGCAGCCTGCAAAGTGATGCAAAAGCGCAACCAGTCCTTGAAGGTAGCAACCAAGCCTTTGAATATGTTAAATCCTTAATAAAACGCAAAAACTTCTCAGTACTGTTATGGAAATATTAGCTTTATTATTATTCTCTTTATGCTGACAAAATGCCCATTATGCCGACATTATGCTCGATGCTGGCCGACTAAA